CGCGGCCCTAACCCGCCTCTGTCCCTCGTTGTGTCTCCCGCAGACTGAATCAAGATGGCCGATGAGGAAATTGCCGCCCTCGTTGTCGACAACGGCTCCGGGATGTGCAAGGCCGGCTTTGCTGGGGACGATGCCCCCCGAGCCGTGTTCCCCTCCATCGTGGGGCGCCCCAGGCACCAGGGGGTCATGGTGGGCATGGGGCAGAAGGACAGCTACGTGGGCGACGAGGCCCAGAGCAAGAGAGGCATCCCAAGATGGCCGATGAGGAAATTGCCGCCCTCGTTGTCGACAACGGCTCCGGGATGTGCAAGGCCGGCTTTGCTGGGGACGATGCCCCCCGAGCCGTGTTCCCCTCCATCGTGGGGCGCCCCAGGCACCAGGGGGTCATGGTGGGCATGGGGCAGAAGGACAGCTACGTGGGCGACGAGGCCCAGAGCAAGAGAGGCATCCTCACCCTGAAGTATCCCATCGAGCACGGCATCGTCACCAACTGGGACGACATGGAGAAGATCTGGCACCACACCTTCTACAACGAGCTGCGGGTTGCCCCCGAGGAGCACCCCGTCCTGCTCACCGAAGCCCCCCTGAATCCCAAGGCCAACCGGGAGAAGATGACGCAGATCATGTTTGAGACCTTCAACACCCCGGCTATGTACGTGGCCATCCAGGCCGTGCTGTCCCTGTACGCCTCCGGACGAACCACCGGTATCGTCATGGATTCCGGGGACGGGGTCACCCACACGGTGCCGATCTACGAGGGCTACGCCCTGCCTCACGCCATCCTGCGTCTGGACTTGGCCGGCCGGGACCTGACCGACTACCTCATGAAGATCCTGACCGAGAGGGGCTACAGCTTCACCACCACGGCCGAAAGGGAAATTGTGCGCGACATCAAGGAGAAGCTCTGCTACGTCGCCCTGGACTTCGAGCAGGAGATGGCCACGGCCGCTTCCTCTTCCTCCCTGGAGAAGAGCTACGAGCTGCCTGACGGGCAGGTGATCACTATTGGCAACGAGAGGTTCCGGTGCCCCGAGGCCATCTTCCAGCCCTCCTTCCTGGGGATGGAGTCCTGTGGCATTCACGAGACCACTTTCAACTCCATCATGAAGTGTGACGTGGATATCCGAAAGGACCTCTATGCCAACACCGTGCTGTCCGGCGGGACCACCATGTATCCTGGCATCGCTGACCGAATGCAGAAGGAGATCACGGCCCTGGCACCCAGCACTATGAAAATCAAGATCATTGCCCCGCCAGAGCGTAAATACTCCGTCTGGATCGGTGGCTCCATCCTGGCTTCTCTCTCCACCTTCCAGCAGATGTGGATCAGCAAGCAGGAGTACGATGAGTCTGGCCCATCCATTGTCCATCGCAAGTGCTTCTAAAGAGGGTCCCGGCAGGTGCGCTCGGCCTCTGCCGATGGGGTTACTTCGGGTATCCTGGTTGGGGCCAATGTATTTACCAAATGGAGTAGTTCTTTGTAACCTTTGCCCTTAAAAAGCCTTTCATGTTGGACCAATATTGTTTGACTTACTCGCCTCCCCTTACGTTAACTTGACTCTTCCTTTGATGTACTGTGTAGTAACTATACCCTGTGCATCTTAAGCTCTGTTACAGGTGGGGCACGTGTGACCAAGGTTACCGTGAACAGTATTAGCAGAGAGAGAGAGTTACCTGTTAGGCTTTAGTTCTCCTGTGGCTGGCTGTAGTGATCCTCTATTTTCCCCTCTTGAGCTATAAATTCCTTGGGGCTGGAGACTAGGCTAAGGGTTGTTGGCTTTACTCTGTAACTCTGATGTAATGGCATCTCACAAGTAGATTTGTAACTAACCCGACAGCTGATAACTGTAATACGATTGACAGCTCCTTGTTCAAGGCAAACTAATAAATTTCTGTGGTTTAAAATGTGTGGTACTGTTTCTGTGAGCCGAGTCAAAACTGGGAAACTTGCTAACAAGTGGAATTAGGATGGGTTTTTAGGCTGCTCTTTTGTAAACATTTTTTAGCTTTTTGAAAATTTCCTTTTTTTGACTTAAAGGTCCATTCTGCTACTTCAACTAAGATACGAGAACCTGCAATAGACATCCATTCAGATAGCTATATGTCCTTTTCAAGAAAACTGGGATGTCCTAATTAGGGGTGTTAACTCTTGGTTAATTGAGTAGTTGATGAGGGTGGAGGGCACTTCTTGAGCTGGTCTGAATGGTTGGTGGTAAAACTTATTTGCTCTCCTTTTCAGACTAAAAGCACTCCAGATACTTGGGGGGAGGGGGAGGGGGAGGAAGAAAAGGAGCAAAAAACTCATGTTAATGCAGAATCTCGTAATTCATTTTATAGGTAGCATATATCCTTGGTTTTTCACTCATTGTGTGCCCTGGGTTGAATCTCATTCCTTGAGGAATTTCTCAGCCATATTTCATTGCCTACAAGCAGTCTAGACAGGAATGACTAGCCAACCTAAGCAAATGCCAGCTGGCCTGGGAATAAGGCCACACTTAAAGTGCTGGCCTGGTGGTTCCTGGTTATCAAACTTTGACTCTTTGTATTAAAGTCTACAATGCTTAAACACATTTCTATGTCCCTGTCACTTAGTTACTTTGCTGTATCAGTTCCTATGGACCTGCCTGAGCACCAGTTGAGATTATCCACCTGGTGTCTTAACCCCTGCAAAAATGGGGATGAGACTGAGGGGAAAATGACTTGCTTGAGCTTGCCCTGTAGAGCCAAGCAGAACCTGGCAGTCTTGACTCAAGCTGCTGGTCTATTTATTGGACCAAAATAAAGCCTTTTCCAAAAGGTCCCTTATTCCTGATTTTAAGAAGAATAAGGGACCTTTCAGAAAAGGCTTTATTTTCCAAAAGATCCCGTCTAGACTGGCGCTTTTCTCTGGCAAAGCCCTGAGCCAGAAAAAAGTGGCAGCCATGTTTATACAAATGAAGCAGGGAATATTTAAATCCCCCACTTCATTTGCAATTCTGACTTGTCTCATCTGCATCCCCTTTTCCAGAAAAGGGGTGCAGTATAGACACAGCCTGGGAGCTTGTGCCTTATTCCTCCCTCATCCTTCCACTTACCCCTCCCTTCCTTATGTCAAAATACACATTTTCATGAACACAAACTCTTTAACAAGTGGGGAGGAGGGAATGAAACTGGGGAAAGGAGGCAGAGCTGGAAGGGTGGGGGGGCTTTCAGGGTAGGTGGCCATGCCAGACCAACTTGATTGTCATGCAAACCTGCTCCTGGGAATAAGGTCCATGATCTCCACCCTGGACCAGAAAGGTACCTGTCTTCTCGGAGTCCTGGCAGGTCTTGAAAGCTGGCAGACTGCTTGTGAGGAGCGGTGGAGGGCTGGCTGCCAGTGGCTTGCTGGCTCATATTTTGGGACCACTGGGTCAGGGGTAGTGACTGCTGGCTCTGGGCTGGCAGGCTTGGACCTGGCACAGGCACTGTGGCCAGAGCCTACCCCTTTAAGGGCTCCAGGGCTGGGAGAGAGGAGCGTTTTCCTGGTTTGTCCCATAGTGGCCACCAGGGGAAACTGGGAGGAGCTGGAGGCCCTCTATTTTGAAATAGGTGTCTAGACAGCACTTATTTTGCATTAGCTATTTTGAATTTGGTATTATTCCCCATAGATTGAGGTTTACCAAATTCAAAATAAGTGCCCCGCTATTTCAATTTTATTTTGAAATAGCGGTTTTCTTGTGTAGAGCTAGGAAAGTTCATTCAAAATAACGGTAGTTATTTCAAATTAACTTTGATGTGTAGACATACCCATAGAGAGCAGCAGTTTGCTGTGCAGACAGACCCTCGGTGAACAACTCTATTGGGGTGGGGGAGGAGATGAAGGGGAGGCTGCTGTTCTGTTCCCAACTGTAGCAGGAGTGGTTGGTAGGCACTTGATACAGGGAGAGTTCTTAAGTGCCAGACAGCTGACAGGCAGCCAAGAGGCTGCTTGCAATTGTTCAACCCTCCAAGAAAATGCCTGGGAGCATTAGACTATAAATAAAGTGGGGACTTTGAGCCTGATTCAGAGGCTAATGCAGCCTATGAGGGGCTCTTCATTGTCTATACTCTGCTGTGGATGGGGTGCTGACTGCAGTACCTACTGTGGAATGACACAGACTTGCTTTGCAGCAGGGTTACAGAAGATGGGAGCTTGCTTCCCTCTCCTAATACGGTGTTGAAATGGAGGCAGCATGAGGCCAGCTTGCTTGCCAGGCATTACAAAACCACAGCTTAACGGCTGTGATCCCAGAACTCAATCCACTAGTTGGGAGCCTTATCCCCAATGTGCACTCGAGTCAGGGGTTCTTTTTGGGGGTGAGGGGATCACTTGCAGGGTCAGGGCCAAATGTCCGGCTCTGAAAACACAGGAGCTGGTGGTGCTACACTCCAGAAGTCCTTTAGGAAACATCCCTGTAGGATGCATAGAGGGTTAATATATCCCACCTACGTGGTAAGACTGAGCTGTATTTCATCTCTGGTCGGTGGTGGCCATGTGGTAACTGAACCCCCAGGGGGCTAGGAATGATGGTGTAGACAAGCATAAGTCTTCCCTTAGTTTTCCATCACTACAGGTTGGACCTACCTGGTCCAGCACCCTCAAGGCCTGACTGGTCCTTGGGAGAGGGGGTACCAACCTCCCCACATGGCTCCTCTCCCCAGCAGCCATGTCAGAGCTCTCAACTGCTACTCCCCCACCCCCCCCAAAAGCTGTGGCTGCTCTGCTGCAGTTCCCTGGCAGCCCCTTCATCCTGCTGGCGCTGCCAGCTGCAGGCTCTGCTGCCCCATGAGCTCCAGCCCTGCTGCCAGCTTCCCTGCCCCACCGGCTGCAGGTTCTGGTGCCCTGCAGCCTCCACTGCTCTGCTGGCCCTGCTGCCAAACTGCTCTGAGCCACTGGCAACCTCTGCTGCTGGAGCTCTCTAGTCCTGCGACATCTGTAGTCCTGCAGCCACGGATCATTCCTCATGGCGTGCTGACAGCCAACCCTGGCCAGGACCCAGGGCTGCTTTCCCTCTACACCACTGGCTTTGATTGATTTGGCTTCTAGTGCAATGGCACATGCAGTCCCTGCCAGCCTGGGTAGAGGGAGGTTGGGCCTGAGATTCTGACCCTGGTTTCCCACCAGGTAGCTCAACAAGCGGTTCTAGTTTGGGGGTCACCAAGTAAACCCCTGGCGGGTTTATCCAACCTGGTTTTAAAAACTTCCAGCGATGGGAATTCCACAGCCCTTCCTTGCAAGCCTCTTCCAGGGCTTAACTCTCCTCATAGGTAGATTTTTCTAATATCTCTGCTCAATTACCCTTGTTGCAGGTCAATCTCGTTAACTTTTTCTCCTGCCTTCAGTGGACACCGAGAACAACTGATCCCCACCCTATTTGTAAGAGAACAAGAATGGCCAGACTGGGTCGGAGCAAAGGCCTATCTCGCCCAGCGTCCTGTCCGCTGACAGTGGCCAACGCCAGATGTCCCAGAGGGAATGAACCAAACAGGGAATCAAGTGATCGCTGCGCTGTCACCCATTTCCAGCCTCTGACAAACAGACACTAGGGACACCATTCCTACCTGTCCTGGCTGATAGCCGTTGATGGACCTAACCTCCATGAATCTATTTAGCTCTTTCTTGAACCCTGTTGTCTTCACAACCTCCTCTAGCAAGGATTTCCACAGGCCGACCATATGCTGTGTGAAGAAAAACTTCCTTTTGTCTGTTTTAAACCTGCTGCCTATTAATTTCATTTGGTGATCCCTAGTTCTTATGTTATGGTAACAAGTCAATAATTTTTCCTTATTCACTTTTTCCATACCAGTCATGATTTTATAGACCTCTATCCTATCCCCCCCACCCCTTAGTCTCCAATTTTCTAAGATGAAAAGTCCCAGTCTTTTTAATCTTCATTTGGTACCCATTCCAAACCACTAATTATTTTGTTGCCCTTTTCTGAACCTTTTCCAATGCCAAGAAATCTTTTTTGAGATGAGGCAACCACACCTATATGTAGTATTCAAGACGTGGATGCAGCATGGTTTTATATAGAGGCAATAAGATATTCTCTATCCCTTTTAAAATTGTTCCTAACATTCTGGTTGCTTTTTTGACTGCCGCTGCACACTGAGTGGATGTTTTCAGAGAACTATCCACAACAACTCCCAAGATCTCTCTTGAGTAGTAATAGCTAAATGAGTCCCCATCATATTGTATTTATAGTTGGGATTATTTTTTTCTAATGTCCATTACTTTACATTTATCAACATTAAATTTCATTTGCCATTTTGTTGCCCAATCACTTATTTTTGTGAGATCTTTCTGAAGCTCTTCACAGTCTGCTTTGGTCTTAACTAACTTGAGCAGTTTGGTATCATCTGCAAATTTTGACACCTCACTGTTTACCCCTTTCTCCAGATCATTTAGAAATATATTGATTAGGATTGGTCCCAGTACAGACCCTTGGGGGATACATTAGTTACCTCTCTCCATTCTGAAAACTGATCATTTATTCCTACCCTTTGTTTCCTTTCAACCAGTTATCAATCTATGAGAGGACCTTCTCTCTTATCTCATGACAACTAACTTGAGTAAAGAGCCATTTTGTGAGGGACCTTGTCAAAGGCTTTCTGGAAATCTAAGTATATTATATCCACTGGATCCTCCTTTTCCACGTTTATTAACCCCTCCCCCCCCTCCAAAGAACTCTAGTAGATGATTAAGGCATGATTTCCCTTTACAAAAACCATGTTGACTTTCCCCCAACAAATTATGTTCATCTATGTTTCTGATAATTTTATTCTTTACTATAGTTTCAACTAATTTGCCTGGTACTGACATTAGACTTACCGGTCTGTAATTGCCAGGATCACATTAGCTATCTTTTAGTCATTAGGTACGGAAGCTGATTTAAAGGATCAGT